TCTTTTGCATCATGGATTCACAAATATCTTTGTTTCTATTTGGTTTTAAATTTTATTCCATTAATAACTCAATGAATCAAACTATAAATACAGTGCCCCACTTGCTTCTTTTTAAGAACATCGGTTGCATTTGATTTGCAGAGGGCAGAGAAAGGTTTCCATGATCATTTCAAATTCAAGATTACTTACTAATTTTTAAGATATTTGTCCTCTATTTTGTTTGCTTTTAAGTGACAGGTAACACGTCTGCCTCAATGTCTGTTGTTTCAAAATGTTCCTTAGTAAAAAGAAGTCTACGTCTTGTTTCTATATGTGCTTCACTTCCAGATTTTCTCCTCTTTATCCTGCTCCACCCGGCTCCTAAGTAGCTATCTCCATGGCAACTCCCGATAACATTGGTGGGTGGTGTTATCACAGCAGGCTTCCCCACAGAAGGTCTCAACCATATGGATTATTTATGAACCTGCATGACAGCAGCAGACCCACTGCAACGCTTCTTGGGCAAGTCTTCTCTTTTCTGAAAGCCAGACCATCAGAGAACGGCTTCCTTGCTGAAGTCAATGCTTAGGACTAAGCAGCTGGCAAAAAAATAAATAAAAATAAAATAAAAATAAAAAACTGAAGGTGTTGCTTATCAGATCCCAAGGCTGCCTTGCCACTGCCTGGGTATTACTCTTAACTCAAGACAAGCACCCGTTGTCATATTCCATGCGTTGTAACTTACGGTTACATATGCCAGTTAGTGAAATTGTAAGTTTTCAACTTCTGACCAGAAAAATAGTATTTCAGACATATCATGATTGCAGAGTTGATATAACTTAGAGAGTTGATATAACTTAGACCATTTTGGGGGAGATGCTGTTGCAGATACACTGCAATGGTTCTGAGTCTCTGAGTCAGTTCTTGGAAAAGGTCGCATTTTGGCTTTGATGCTGTATTTTCTTCATCTGATTTTTCTTCAATATAGCCCTTAGCTATGGTTGTTGCATATAGTCTGTATTCATGCAAATATGACATATCAAATTTCTAAAAGGTGCTCTCTATATTAGTAATCTATTTCTTTAAATAATAGATTATTCTGGGCAAAGTATATTTGCTGAGCAAGAGAAAGGACCTGTCATATTCTGTCATTTATGCTGACCATGTTTATAAATTTAATAAATTGCCTAAGAACCAGATAATTTTTCTTCATGAAAGAAAATAATAGTTCTGCTTTCAGATCAGCCCTTTTTTTAATCTGAGGACAACATATAAGAATACATAAGATTTAATGGGTTTAATTTATCTTGCCTAAGTCTATGTATATCTATAACGTTTATATCTGAACCTTAATTTGTCACTATAGACTTCCTTTATGATCTGTAAGAAGTAGGAACTTTTGAGCCAGAATTCAGCACACCAGTTGTCAAAATCTGCCCAAAGATTAAATCTGTTGTTCCCTAAACACCACAAAAGGCATAGATCAGATCTCTATTGACTGTAAAGGCAGTCAAAGTTGGTTAGCTCAGGTTGGATGCCTGCCCTGCAGATCTTGGATATCTAGCAGATGACTTCCACTATATGTATCCATCAAGAACTTCCAGGGATGCTCAGTCAGCTTTCTGGAGAGAAGCAGCTCAGCAAGGGAGGATGTTGCCACCTTTATGCCTTTCTTCTCCCTTCCTTATGTACAATCGATCCCTAATTAAGGTAAATTATCTGGATTAGAACAACTCTATTGCAATAGAGTGCTGAAACCAATCCAAACTATTCAGAGAGAACTGGGTTAAATAATGTGCAGGCTGATAACCAGTCTGAGGAGGCAGTGAAAAAAAATGTTTGGTGTCAGGACAGAAGGGAAGATTGAAAAGTTAGGAACTCTCACAGAGGAAGGAAGCCAAAAACACAAAACGTAGGAACCACTTTAAAGATACAACCTTGACAGAAGCTGTGTCACTCTTCTTCCTTGGATAGAGATTTGTAGCTGCAGACTGGGAGAGAATACCCAGATATGTGAGATATTGCTGAAGAGACTTGGCCAAGTTTGTATCCTTTTCCAGGTTATAATTTCTTTCATTATCTGCATTCTGCTCTGAAGTCCTGCACAGCAAAACCAAATAAGAAACATATTACCAGCCTGCATGACAGTGAGCCTGGCAAAAAAACAGAACCAGGTTTTATACCTCAAGACACTGAAACTATTTCCATACATGAGTGCTTAGGGAAAAAAAAGTCACTGAAAAGCTTAACAGCTTTACAAGAACAGCAATATAGATAATTCAGCTTTTTTTTTTTTTTTAATAACAATCCACTATTAGCAATGTGTCATGGAATCAAAGCAAATGATCAACAGTAAATCAACAAAAAGCCTACATCAAGCTAAAATGATATCCAAAGAGGAAAAGAATATTTGTAAACAGAAAATCTACAACACTAAAGTGCACCTCAAAGAAATATATGGGTCGTTTTAACCACAAAACTTGCTGTATTATGTAGAGAATCAACATTATTTTGGCCCCACACAAGCAGAGTACAGTGAGACTGCTGGACATAGAGAGGTAAGCGAGCAAGGTGGCTCCAGAAAAAGGCTTCAGAAGGGGATAATGAGACAGCAAAAGTATCTCCTCTGTCCCTGTGTGTCTCAGATTCACATCAATGATTTCTGACTGTTTTAAACAAATCTTGGTGATGTTTTCAGGAAAAAAAAAAAGATAAAAATGTGATTAAGCAACAGCAGTGTAGAGAGGTGAGTATATGGGCTTCAGAGTGTTGTGTACAACAGCTCTGAGTTATTATCAGCTCCCCTCATCTATCTCAATAACATGTCAGTGATAACAATAATTTAAATGTCAACACCAGTAACTATTTCATACCTCATGTAAGAAAGCCGAGGGAGGGTCACCGATCTGCTTCCTTCTCTGTGACACATTGTTTGGAGGGAAATTATGTTTCAGAGCCACCATTCCCCACCCACATCCACACACCCCACTTCTCCAGGGATGAAGACTTCCCGTGAAAGGACTTTTACAACCCAGGGAGAGGGAGCATCACTTTACTTTAAACATCAGCAGGCCATTTGTAAGCCACATTCAATTCCACCAGTTCATGTGGTGACTCGTATTTGGGGGCAGAGTGTGAAAGAGAACCACTACTGCATTTTCCAGATTTTGGATTTAACGGTGTTGCTTTACGCACAAAGTAACAGACTTTCAGTTTTGCTGCACAGGGCACGACTGAGGTCTCGCTATAATTTACCCTGAATTTGCTTGCTTCTCACACCGTTTGCATTTTTCTCCAGTTCCAGGGCTCTAAACTCTGCCTGGCTGTGGAGGGCAGAGGTACAGGTAACATCACCAACATCCTGTGCCACTTAAGGGCAGACTCAGGCTGTGCTGCGGTGCTGGAATGAGCCGGGCTGGCTTTCTGCTTCAGTAGAGATGAACTAATCCAAAGAGGCTATCATAGAGCAGGTATTCCAATTTCTCATTCCTCCCTTAATTCCAACGTCTATCTTCTCCTTTCTTTGCTAACTTTGAAAAGAGAGAGCAAATGGAAATACTGACCAAATTCCACCCTTGGGATTTTCACTGGAGTTAGTATGAATTGAAAGCACAGATAAAAGAGAGTCTTCAGTTTAGCTTTTCAAGCCATTATATTCAGTATATAATCACTCTCTCTCACAGTAGAAGCAGAAACTGAGGCCAAAGATTTTTTCCTATGGAGATGGCAATTGCTCTCAAATTGTGTTTGAATTCCATATTGTTTGTAATTTCATATGCTATAAACTTGTAAACAACAATCAAAAAGCAAAAGGCTAACAAGCTAACAAAGCATTACATTTCAGCTGATGGCGACTTTAATGAAATCCTCCAAACATGTCTGATTTTCAAAAAATCTTTTCAGTTCACCAGTGTATCACTATTGTTAACCTTGCTACTGCAGAACGTAAAATGCATTAAACTGTTCTTACAACTAATTAAAATTTTCCCCTTAAATGTGACAAAGTGATACTGGAAAATGATGAGGCACCTGGTGAGTAGGAGAAATGACTGTCAGTTGACTTCTTGTTGTGCACTTATTTGGAAGCATGTTCTATTTTAATTTGGTTTGAAAAAGGACTACAATGTATAAAGATCATAATGATATGCATAATTATTTATGCATAGAAATAATTATATAACTCTTATAAAAAACACGCCACTTTATAATCTTTTGCAAATTGTATCTGAACCAGCGTACCACAAATATTATGCTTTTGCAGAATGCTCTCAACTGATAGATACCATACTTTTTAGAATAAAGAGTCTATCCCTGTTAAATGCTGTAAGAATCTTATTACTGACTTAATGATGGTTTTGTTATGGAAATAATGCTATACCCCATTTTATACATTGAAGTTTATTGGAAACGTTCGTGGTTTTGTCTAATTGCACCAATGAACAGAACAGACATTTATTCCCTGCGTGCAAAATGGATTTTTTTTTCCTTTATCTTGGATCCTCTTTCAAGATTGCTTTTTTTTTTCTTTTTTTCTTTTTGAAATTTAATAAGGGCCCAGAAAATACCATGTACACTCCAGTTAGCCACCAAAGAAAGAACTTTCATCTTGAAATCAAGCTCCTACTTTCGGGGGGGAGGTTAAGATGAAATCCATGTCTTCTGTTCTATCAGATTTCATATGTACTAATTTAGCCTAAGTCAATTTACCTTTCAAGTGTCTGAGTCTATTTTCTTGCTCTCACTAACTCTGTGGGGATTAATTACTCATTAATATGACTTCATATTGCCTTATTACACATTATTCTTAATAAAAGGTCTTCCTGCCACAACGTTTCTTTGATAATCAGATACCTAAATTGTTGCTATTTTAATTATTTAATTAATATTTGACAATATTCTAGCAAAAGTATTAAGCCCACTGAGCATATAGCAAAATTTATCAGAATCTACAAAAAGACAAGGAAAAAAAATCCCACTGTTCCCTGACCTATAGAATATATTGCAAATAGAGAAACAGAAAAATCAACTAATGTTTTAAACTGTTGGCACATAAGATAATGCTTTCAGAAGCACAGCTTGATAACTTCAGAAAATCCATCCACAATGGGAATTGCTAGAAGCGGAACACATTTGAAATTCTCATGTTCCTGAAGTGTCAATACGACAAATAGATTATTTTAAAAAATACATTTTTAATTAATAAAGGAAAGCACCTCAAATCTCAAATTCTCAGTAAAGAACTAAATTGTTTCTACACATTTTTACACATTTCATTTTTATATAACTCCATTTAAGAATTTGGAACACTGGAAAACATGGTCTTGATCTCTTGGAAATCTGAATCTATATTATCATATTACCATAAAAAAATCATAGGATACAGACATTTCTGAAAAAACATCCCTCACAAGATATTCAAAATAATTTCTGCTGCCAGAGAGTAATCCATATAGTAATGGCATTTAGTATATCTAAGAAGTGAGAACAAGTTTATGGATTTCAACATGTGTTTTTATCACCTTTATGATAAATTATAGATCAGTATCTTATCTGGAAGCTAAGCTTCTACCTTACGGTACTTTTGAAATGTACTGTGCTATGATTTTAAGAAATGCCTTACATTCCTTTACGCTGAATGAATCGGCAAGTATGAAAATTAGAGGGTCAAATTCCATTAATTTAATCAGAGATAACTCAGGCAAACACAGCCGGAGCCACTGGGCATTTTCAATTACACAGCATTTTTATTTCCATAAAAGAGCAATCTAGCAGAGAAATGTTTTCCCCTTCTTTGCAGGATATGATTTCCCCAAGCTAGAAATTCTATAAAGATCTAAGGTCGAATGTCCAATATCTTGCCCATCAGGATGAGTAGTTTCAGCTGTCTTCCACTACGAAGAAAATTTTTTAAAAAGTAGCACTGTCCTTCACCTTAGTAATTCTGAGATTTCATTTTTAAGATGATTTAGAAGAAACCCCAATTTGCCATTTAAACTTTCATTATGTTAACTTGTTATTTGTTATACTTTTTAAAAAGTGACTTCTGAGGTTTGTATGATTAGGCTGAATTTAAAGCCTATAAGGACAGGCTAAAATATATGTATTTGTATCTGTATATGAAGATGATGTAAGTAAGTCCTACATCCATATCTCTTTACACAATTACAGAGTCCTTACCTCTTGCCTCCCATAATGAAGCCACCCCTCAATATCTTGCAAGTCCCTAGAGAAATGACTTCTATAATACAAAGATTAGATAGAGATGTCCCAGCATTGTTTCATGCCATAGGATCTCACATGAATGTCTCTATATTGGATGAATTTTGCCACCAAAGCAGACTCTATCAACATTGTTCTGGACAAACATGAGTTTGATGACATTGGTGGGTCACAATTTCTTTCAGTATTTCATTTTGTTTCTTTTCATTGCTTAATTCCAGAATAAAACTTCTCCTGTGGATGAGCTATTGTACATGGCTGCCATTCTAAGCCAGACGTACCAAAAGCTGCTGAACTGAGGCTAGGTTTTTGAATAAATGGGACAAGAGAAGTTTTGATTTCTGACTCCAAGCTAGCCGTAGAAGGCATATTTTCATAATTTGTTGAGGTTCTCATTCATTGTGCACCATTTTTAATATTTTCATACAACTGGTTTTCATGTAATGTCTGTTTACTGATTTTAGTGATGCATTTAATATTTCAGATGCAGTGCTATGGTTCCATTCTGTTTCTCATCATTTGCCAAAAAAAAAAAGAAAAAGAAATCCTAAATCTATGAGGCACAAAAGTCATTGCAAACTTACCTTCCTCCATGAGACCCTTCAGGTAGAAATACATCAGGGTGTCTGGTGTGGATTTTATGAATGGTTGAGAGCTCCTGACCAATAACATGCTGTGTGTAGTCATCTTGCCACGTAAAACCTGAGGAGTAATGACAAAAATATACACACAGAAAAACAGAAACACCATTTAGTAACTTGAAGTTTGGCAAAAAAAATGTTTTATATAAACAATATTAAAAAGGAAAAAGGAAACTTGGCTGAACATAAATTCCAGACTGATTTACAGATTCTTTGCTCCTACAACAAGTGTTGTTTATCCAACTTCTCCATTACATCTCTAGATGTAATGAGGTCTTAAAAGAGCTTGGTCTTAATAGACCAAGGTATAGACTAGGTATAAACTAGCTTTAATACGTAATAAAGGATTATTTTTGAGTAGCTGTGGAGAATAGTTATCTCACTAGCCAGCTCCTGAAGCAAAAAGAGTTTTAAAACTCTTTGCTGGTATCCATTGAAAAGTGGCTTCATGCAGGTGATTAGTTCAGTTCTCCCTGGTTCACTGCATGCCACCCTTCCCGTGTTCCCTTCATCAAACTGTGTAGTTAGAGCATTAAGTAGCAAATATTACAAGGGAAAGAATTATTTTGGGTCTTAATATAGCTCTTATGAAGGCCAATTTGTGTTATCTTTATACTCAAATATTGTGACAAAGAACTTTACAACAAGGGGGAAGTAAGTCTGAAGGCAAATTCCATGTGATTATTCATTAATTATATGCGTTGCTGATCTCATGGTAATTATACTTGGAATTATGATATAACTGCAACCCTAATTGTTATCCAATTTCTGGAATTTAGATTTTATGGTAACACTTTATAGAATTCGCCCTTGCAATTATCTGTAATTATCTAATAACTAAATATCACGTAATTGCGGAGAATATCTGCCTTTGTGCTAGGCACACTAAAACACCACAAAATCCTCAAATGAATATTGATAAAGTCCTAGATATGGTGATTGTGCTAATATCTTCCTGTAAGAAACCTTCCAGAGAAAAATCCTCTCTAGCCCCTGGCAGAAGAGGACGCATCTGTGGTAGAGAATCAGTATCGGAAGGTGGGTTTCTGGTTCAGCTCCCATTTCATACACAAGTTATGAACATCTCCACAATTTGCAGTTAACACCAGGTTTGCTGGGACCGGGACTCTCTTGGGCTGAAAGTTTAAGCACTGTCAGTTGAAACAGAACCCAGAATGTGACCATCTCACTTTGTAGATGAGTGCTTTATCCCGTGGGCTATTAAAGAAGTGGTTATGCTCTTCCAATTTTTCGAGGGTATTAGGAATGGAGTTCATTATCCGTTTACCTAACCTGAATTAGTCCAAGTAGGAAAAACTTCATGAAGTTAGATATAATATTAGACATGCCTAGGAAGTATTTAAACGATGATATTTACATCTGATATTTACATGAGTTTTAGGTCTCAACTTAGCCAGTTTAGGTAGACAGACTTCATTGTTTTCATATATGAAAATATTATTAAAGAATCTAGAACTCATCTATGTATATATAAAGATTTTAACAGAACAAAAAAACCTTTGACATGTAAGAAATCCACTTTGTGTTTGCTCATTCCTCTCCTTTTCTTAAATAAAAATATTACATGAGTTTATTGAAGAAACAGTTCACTTGAAATCATGCAAACTGTCAATGCCTACGGCAAATGGTTCCATACCTGGGAAGGGGGAATAATCTCCAAGATTTTCAGATCTGATTCATCCTTTTCAAATGCTAATATCACCTTTTCAAATGTGCCATGTAGATAGAGTCAAATCATTTTGCAAATCTCAATCTAAGGCTGCTCAGAATATGTTCTTATGTGAATTATACAAAAATGAGTCACCGGGAACATATGATTATTTCAGCATAATGTTATTAAAATTATTTTTACATTGAAGTTTATATATAATGTGCATATATATATACACACACACACAGATTTTTTCAAGTTTAGTTCTCTGTTGCCTAGCAACTATACGTTTTTCCCTTTTTTATAAGGTCACAAAAGAGAAGAAAGTTAAAATGATATTCAAGTTCAGAAGAATGTGCAACAAAAAAGTTCATCTAAAACACAAATCTACATATCAATATATGTATTACTATGTATAATCATATGTATATAAACGTTACAATAGTTGCACAAGTACTTATTTATGACCCATATTTCCCAAACCCTGCTGTTTTACTCTGCAACTCCAAATCAACAGCATAACCCTATTAAAAGCTAAACATTACTCACATAAACAAACTCTGAAGAAAAACAGAGAATCATTCTCAAGAGTTTTGTTCAGCTCTCAAGCAGGAAAGAATTCGTCTGCAGTACTTGCATAAGCACACCAAATTCATTACTCTTGAGCTATATGTATACATGGCCACAGATCAAGATATTAATAGTCAGCTGTGCCTATCCTTAAACCATTCTGATCCCAATTCTTGTTGGTCATATCTATATATGTACACGGCCACAGATCAAGGTATCAATAGTCAGCTGTGCTGACTAAACCATTCCGATCCCAATTCTTGTTGGTCATATCTATGTGCACCTTGGGTACATTTTTTTCTTCCACAGCACTATTTTAACACTTTTCTCATAATGCATTTCAAATCCTTACAGATGCCCAGGCCTTCTGCTGAAGAAGAGCACAACTGCAGTGCTGAAAGGAGTCTAGGAAAAAGGTGTTTGGCAGAGAGCTTAAGAAATAGGAGGGGAGAATAGCTCTTGTTGAACATGTTTCCTAGCACTTTTTCCTCACTCAAACAAGAGTTACAACAACACATGGACAACTGAGAGCCAAATTATGGAGGGAAGGAGGACACAGGCCATATGGCGGCCTCCTCTTCCCATTGCAGCCGCCATTGCACGCAGCTCCTGCCTCACAGTCCCACCACAATGATTTCCGTCTGCTGTCAGAGCAGGATCACTATGCTCGGCCCTGCATTGCTTCCATGCCGCCACCATGGTGCTGCGTTGGGATAGGCCGCAGTGCCCAGAGCTGTTCCTGCCACAGCCCTCTACATCCTGGCATGAAATGTCTTCCTGCATGTGGTCTCTTCTGAGCCTTGCAAAAAGGGGCCAGCATGGCCTTCCTGCCCCAGATTTCTAGATGCAGCAACAAGCTCTACATTGTTTCCGACCGAGTAATGCGGGTGACAGTGAGTCCCCGTAAGGATGCACCATCTTGTCCCTTGTCCCACTAGAAGTAACACATGGTATCCTCAGGGGCACAGCCCGAGGTTTAATGCCTCCCTTCCTTTTTTTTTGACTTTTTCCAAAATGACTTAATCTAAATGTATGTGCAAAGGCAAAATCAGTGTAAACTAAAATATAAACCTCACATAAAAGCTGCACATCAACAGCAAGGAAATTACTCCAGATACAATGTGATCTTCCATTACTACCATCAGGGATCTCCCTGGGTCTTTTCTTTCCATGACACTTCCATGCCATTTCTATTTTATTAAAAATTACAATATTACATATTAATATTATTACTATTATATATTCAGTTATAAAAATAATGAAATATAGTGTTGTCTAAACTTCTACTATGCTTAACACTAAGCAGTGACAGTGTCAGCAGAAAGCATACATCTTACAGCTATTTTATTAATTGAAATCAAATCAAAAGCAAGCAGTGCTAAAAAGTGAAGAAAATAATTTTCACAGACCATTAAAATAAAAGAAAACTAGAACTTCTTCCAAAAGCAATTTTGTATTATAACTCACACTGGCAGATTAATGACAAAATTTCGACTAGTCAAATGTTAACTTCCATCTCCAAATGAAATTTCAAAGATTCTTTCACTTTTACTATACAATTCCACTTTAAATTTTTTAATTGGCTTTGCAGCCAATGATGCAGAATTGTTTAAAAATATATTAAAAATCCAGTATGTATTTTCTTCTCTGTGTTATTCCCTTTCTTTAGCTAATGGAATTCTTCTCTCTGTTTTTGATTGTCTATCAGCTCAGAGGAACTTGCTGCCTGTCCAAATACACCAGATCTACACATCTTTAGCTGATGTAAATTTGACTAGTTGAAACACTTGAAAAAAAATCTGTTGAAAATATTTATCTGCTTACTTATTCTGCAACTTATTTATCTGATACTTATTTATCTGCAATTTATTCTAATTCACAATTATTCACCCAAATATTCTTTATTCCTATCAAGATCCAGTAAGAAAAACATCTTTCAGCTTTCCAGACGGGTGTCCAATGAGATAACAATATGAGACTCTCCCAGCTTTTGTGCCAATTGAAATCCAAAATGATTTGCATCAATATATTCGCAACAAGATGCTTTTCTATGCCATGCCATGTGACAGGAGATTATTACATATTGGCTGAAACCTATGCACTAAAACCTGATTCTTCTTTGTCAGGGAGGTCCCCTTACTAAATTCGAAAAGCTGAGAAGTATTTACATGTGAAGACCAAATATGTTACTCTTTCTCAGTTATGGCATTAAATTATTTTCCACCTTTTAGTAATATTTTCCATTTTGTCATTATAGACTACATGACGAAATAGTTTTTTCTCTGAGCTACCTTCAACCACTACTTTATGTCAGCACAGGAACTCTCAGTTGTAGAACTCGGGAGAGTTTCATTCCTCGTGCCATGTGTTGCACATTGTTCTTGCCTACTTTAGCTGTCAGAACATCTACAGAAATTGGCAATGATTGGTTTTCTCCCTTGTTTTTCCAACAGGCAGGTCCATGTAGAGACATGGCTTTCTGCAGGCTGCCTGTCCACATTCTCTAGAGGAGCAGCACTTGTGCTCATCCCAGGCCTCCCTTTTCAGAGCTCAAGGACACAAACAGAGATGTTCACATACTTCAGTACTGGCTCACTCAAAATTGCAGTATTAATTCCAAGGTTGCTATGTTTTTATCAAAATTCATTCTTTCAAGTGCTGTATTTCCTATGTAAGAATGCAGCCAAAATATAAAGTGTTGAGGCTTCCCATTACAATAAAAGAAAACTAGAACTTCTTCCAAAAGCAATTTTGTATCATAACTCACACTGGCAGGTTAATGACAAAAATAGTAATAGAGAAGTTAAACCCACCTCCAC